ACGTCGAGAAATTATCACTGCAATAATACATTAGGTAGATAAACTGAAGAACCGATGACAGTATAATAAAATAGATGAAACGAAATGTGAAAAAAAAAAAAGAAAGACCGTGCGTCGAATTTCTTTGTTCAATTTACTAACACGAACTTTGTCCGGTACCAACGGATGTTACGGTGAGTCACCGTTTACAGCACCACTAGTCAAATAATATTAATGTAATACGACAACACCATCGCGGTTGATTACTGATGATTTTTTTTTTTTTTTTAGAGACCGTTTATGCGAATGATGTCAATCGTTCAGACAGTCTGCAGGCTTGCAGTTTGAATTGATATTAATGTATTATACAATGTCAATGTATTTTTGTAAAAATACACATACCTTATAGTTAGTATACTCATTAGATAATTATAATAACGTATGAATATCATTCATGACAATTGCGAATTTTCAATCAAAATATTGTAGAAAAAAAAACGAATATTATTAAATTTAGGCATAATAATAAAATTCAAATATTAATATGCAATATGTATATAGTATATAATGAGAAAAAACCGATAGAACCGTGATAAGTAAGATCCGTTGTTTTCCACTTTTCAAATAATATCATACAGCGGCGAATTTAAGAGTTCAAATAAAGTCGGCGAATCCGTAAGAGGGGCCTCGTACAAAATATATCAGTAACAATAACAATAATAGCATACTTACCCTAAATTTACAAAACAAATAGCTTCGCTCGCAATAAATAATAATTAACCTATATTCATTTTATAATAATAAATCTTTTAAAAAAATAAAATACACCATTTTTACAAATGCAACAAAATTATAGTTGAGAATCCCTGCGACCTATAGCCTTCGAAAAATTGTTGATAAAATCGTTCATATCAAGAAGTTGTAGTTTGTACTGCTTCATACTCCATGGAAAGTAAGGTTAAATTGCTTGATCGATTTTGAACCATATTTAAACGAAGCCAGTTTTTTAATCTTGTCACTACACTCATAGCTCTTTTAGCACTTGCGCTTTCAATATATAATGTTTAAAATATTTCAAATAAGTTTCCATTTTGGGGCAACATATCAGATAATGAATGTTTAATGGTGAATGTAAAATAACTTAATATATTATCTATTGACTATTGCTGTTTTTCAATTTGTATTGTGTGTGAAACCCGATGCGGTGAAATTGATTATAAAATCATACATTCGTACACGGAGATTAATACGCAGTATTGCAGTAGCATCTATTACAATTATAAATAATATTATTTGTGATCAACGGTAATGGGTATAAAAGGTAGAATAACTAAGATTTACGTATTTAAACTATTTGTTCGATCTTTTCTACTATGTTTAATTATATCATTTTCTACTTTTGAAATGTTCCTATATACTGAAATTATTTTATTATTAAAATAATGGCAAATTATATTCCATTTTGCAATATAATTGTTTTTTTTTTTTTTTTTTTTTTTTTATGGCAAAATTAAAAATAAAATCAACTATTTGCCTAATTTAGATGGGCCTCAGTACACAAATTAGGAGACGGCTCCTATATTATGTTAAATAGCTCTATATTGTTTTCTTTAAATTATGTCTGTCACAATCTAATGACGATAGATAATTATTATCATTCTAAGGATCGCGAGTTCAAACCCGGGTTTGAAAAAAATTATTTACATTTATTTTTTCATTTTAACTAAACAAGGAAAAAACAAATTCATTTTAGGTATAACTAGAGACCCAGCTATTGCTCGCTCGGACTATTTTAATCAAAAAATACCCCTCGATTTGTTGTGTAAACTTTTCTACCAGAAATCTTGCTCCGATTATTAAGTGTAGCACTTTTCCTAAAAGGAAATTTAACTGGGGAGGCATTTTAAGAAAATTATTTTTTTGATTTTCTCATCTCTTGATGGAAAAAACTGGATAAAAAACTGAGGAAAAACAGGAGAACGGGAAAATAGGTATAATATTAAAGACAATTTTTATTACCTTATCTATAATTATTGTACCATAATATAACAACATGATATATATATATTGTTGAAAAAGCAACACTATCAACTGAACTCTGCTCAGAATTGTTTTTTCGTTAGCAATCGTTTATTGTTAGGTACAGATATAAATTAATTTCCCCTCTACATCCTACATTCTCAACTTCTCTGCACCATCAACGGAGACTGCACCCATCATACAAAGTATGTTCGTCTTTTTTTACATTTTAACTACAATTCTACATTTTAGATTCTGAGGGGAGCAAATAATGTATTTACTTTACAGTAACTTTTATTATTTTATTTTTTTTGTGAATAACTTTTCTACCTGAATTTTATCTGAAAAGAAATCTGACTAGGATGGCACTATAAAGAGGTAATTGATTTTACAAACGTGGTTTTCCTAGTAATTGGGAAAAAATGGAGGAAAAAAGTATACGAAATATATTATTTTCAACTCATAAGTATTACAGCCTTTTAAAACATGTATAACTGAACTCCACACAGAATCATTTTTCACCATCAAAGATTAATCGCTACATACAGATATACATAAAATTCCCCCTTATATCCTAACTACTCAACTTCTAACCTACAACAGTGGCTCACCCATTGTGTGAAAGATGTTCGTGTCTTGTTTTTTTCTATTTCCTAAACATCAAAATTTAACTTAAAAATATTCAATTGTAGAAAAATTATTACATATTTGTTTAATAGTCACCAACACATTAAATTGTTGATTTTTCTGACTAATAGAAAAATTTAAAAATATATATACCTAGTAATTTAATGAACAAAACATGAAAAAAAAAAGTTGAAGAGAGGGATACATCCTTGACGGTAGTCATTGTTTATTTTTTGAGGATGGAAATTTAAAGCCTAGTTAAAACGATTATTTCTCACTGAATGACTACAAAAAGACAACATTGATTGAACAGAAACCGCTGCATTATTACAACGGTATATTCCAGTATTTCCCAGTGTTGAGAAGGAACACGTTTTTTTTTATAGGAACGAAACTTGGTACGCGTTCATTTTCAAATATAGAAACGAGAAACGTTCTTTCTATTAGAGAAAAAAAAATGAAACGCACGTTATTTTAGTGATAATATTGTTTAGAAATTGGTATCACTTCGTCAGTTACTAATTTAGTTATATATAACCGTGATATAAACGGTGTCTCGGTGATAATGGTTTAAAATCGTAACAAACAACATGAATTATTTGATAATGACAAACGTCAAATTTACAAATGATAATTGGTATCATTGATTGACAGTGTAATAATTTTTTTTTTTTTTTTGTATAATTAATAAGATATTATATTTTGAATTTTGATAGAAACTAGGAAATTAATTCAATTTATTCGGATTTTAAACATGTAGATTCTGAAAAGTAAGAATAGTTTCCAATTTTATTTATCCTACTTCCCGCTTACGACAGTAGCTGCACCCATCCCGGGTATCTTCTATTTACGCTTAAAGGAACAAGGAACGGGAACGAATTCATTTTTAAAAGGAACTTTTCCAACACTGGTATTTTTCCACTTTTAGAAATATTTCAAGACATATCAACAAAATATCACTCCTAATGCACCAACTAAATACACAAACTGTGTTACCAGAAGAATTCCCTGAAGTTGATGATATAGCAGAAGCAAGTTTTCTGTTCAAAATCGCGTTAAGACTCAAGACTGTAATGATACAAAAAGTAAAAGACAAGCGGGGGAAGAGGTTGTTTGTGTAGAACAAAAACAAAATAGGAATGATAATAATTTAAGGGGGTAAAAGAAAAAAAATACTTAAAATAACTCTCATCATAGCAAAACCAGTTTTTCAACTACGAACTTTACCACGACTATTTTCCTGTAGTCAAAATTATGTATTTCGCTTTTGTTTAGACTTTTTATCTCAATATTCAAATGTTTTCATACTAATAACTAATAATACTTGTAATAATAAATTACCGCGAGTGCATTTCGTGCATTACATATCATTGTCGGAAAATAATATTTTGAAACGGCGCGAGTGTCAAATGTTGCGAAATGCACATAAATCGTAATCGCTACCGGAAACAAAGGTCAAAATCAATAGCGGACGTCTCGACGCACCCACGCACGTTATCTATATAATGTTATACGGTGCGCGCCAAAAACTAGTCATCGGGTGCTATTATTATCACGAAACGTTAGTCTTCTAAAGCTATTTATGATTTGATCATTCTAAAAGGTCAACAGAAATCAGGTTGATACGGTGAACCGGAGCGTATATGATTATAGATATTGTACAATAAAATATTATATTATACAGAGTGATCAATTTTCCGCAAGACACTGTCGTCATTGTCTCAGAAAGCACAAGGAAATACACACACCTACTGTCTTAGTCTGAAAAAGGGTGACTGTTTTTATAAAAATAAAAAAACGGGACAAACCTATTTTTAATTATTATGATAATTTTTTATTTTTTCCAGTTACATTTAAGTTACAATTCATTGAAATAATAATTGATAAATAATTATTATAATATGTTGCTCTAATGACTTATTAGTTTATGTCGATTGGCTCATCTTGTCCATTGTTACAATTTATTGTGTTGTTGTTGTAATTTTGTGATGAATTGATTTTGTTTGATAGTTTTGGCTGTGTTAACAAATAATCATAAAAATAATTACAAGAATATTTTCTTAAAGACACAACCAAATTTTTGATAAATGTTATAAATAACAACAATTTCACTCTAAAAATCAATAAAATTAATAACAGATATATCAAAAAACCGATAACTATTTTAAACATATACTCTAGTTACAAACATTAATAGAGTAATTCTACACATTCATAGAATTAAAATACAATTTTTTTAACAAATACCTATTTTATAAATTAAATTTTAGTACAATTTTAAGATTTAGCTTTTTTAAACAACATTTAAAAAAATACAAAAATAACATTTACTTCTTAGAGACAATTGACATTAAACATTGTAAGAAGTTTATAATTCATTTAATTATTTATTTTATTGGCATTGTTTTGAACAAATTCTAATTTGTTATGGTCAACATATACTCATTTTGAGTAGGTTTTCTCAATGGTTATTGTGACTTTTGGTACTGTTCAGAGATCAGTTGATCGCGTTCGGTTAGAGGTCAGTAGTCTTCAGGCATTGTCTTCAAACGCGTGAAATTATCTTATTAAAGCGTTTAATGCTTATATAACTTTGGTATCTCTTGCTGCAGTCTGAAAAAAATGTATCAACAGCTTCATTCTGAAAAATACCTTAAATTAAAAGCATCTATTATTATTTTCAGCAATAAGGTTGTCAAATTGAAAAATAGATTAACGGGATTAATTTAAAATATGAAAAACCAAAAGCTTTTATTGGTCATGGTGTCATAATAAGGTATATTTACTTGCATTTTGAATTATTTAAATCACAGATCATTTTAATAATTAATCCATAATTATATATTTGTAATTTATGAAATAAATAGATTGTGTAAAAAAACAAATATCTTAAAATTGAATAAATTAATAAAACAAACAAATAAGGTATTTTGCAATCAATCTCAAAATTAACTTTTTTTACCTACTAACACCTATTAAGGTGTATATATAACTTAACTATATATATTGAAAAAAAAATATCATAACATATTTTGTCTCACCCTCTATATGTGTGTATATGTATAAAAGTGAACTACAAAAAATTGTGTATTATCAAATAAAGTTAATTCGTGATGAATTGAACTTGAAGTTTGAATTTGATACATTTTTCATTATTTAAAAAAATTTTCAATATCTCGGTAAATATTTTGTTAACTGTTAGAAATATCGACATTTTTTTTTTTTAAATATTTTAAAGTAAATTAAATTTCCTATAACTTTTATAGACATTTTTTTTTTCATATCTCATGCCGTTTTCATGAAGTACATTAACTTGATTCTATAAAATCACAATTTTCGTATTTTTTCATAGGTAGGTATTAATAATAAATAATAATATCAGCTAAAATGATTTTATATAGTTCCCATAGGACTTTTTCTATCAATTAAAATAATCATAATACAAATATAATTATTACCAGACACTAAAGTTAAAAATACAACAGTTGAACGACTTCCAATATTGTAAGTACAAGTCAAAATATAAAACAAATTATAAACATTCCATAACTTCAGCGATCAACTGGGAAGAACAAGCTGCAGCCGTATGTAATGCATTACAAGAATGGAAATTATTTGTTATTTTTCAAGCTTTGTGTTGTGATACAACTGTGTCCGAAATAGAACGCTTAAATGGAGCATATATTTTAATAGAACAAAAATTAGGTTAAGATCTACTATCCTATCTATATCCTTCTTATAAGCATTACATTTATTAGCCTTTTTTAAAATTAAAATACCACAAATTCATCGAGCTCAATCATTTCATTAATTAAAAATTTCCAAAAAAAATGGCATGAATTAGATATAAATAAATATTATATTGTAATTGAAAGTGATGCTGTTTTAGAAAATGTTAAGGAAGATATTCTGAACTATGTTAAAAGTAAATTAGAAATTAAACATTCTCATGGAGATTATCGTGAATTTTTAGAATTAGTACAAATTTTTGTTGGTGGCAATTCGGAAAATAATATTAAAATTTATCCTCACAAAATAAAATATAAACTATTAATTTTACTTTTTACAGCAACAAATATTGACAAATTTATTTCACAAGGTAGCTTAAAATTATTTTCTCGATTTAATATTGATAACCAATTCTTAAAAAATAATCAGACATCCTAGGAATCTAATGTAAGTTTTATTAATGGTAAACAAATTATTAATTCACTAAAAATAGTATATGATACTGTAGAAAGAGCAGTTAAACAAATGGAAGAATACAATGCAACGTTAATATTGAACTAAGATCAAAAACAATTTATACTAAAATTTATGCAGAAACATTGAAAAATTTATCCAGATATTAAAATATACACATTATCTATAGTTTATTAGCATTATATTACAGTATTTTTTTTTTTTTTTTTGATGATTCATTCATCATTAAAAATGTAGGTCCTACATTTTTAATACATTACGTCTTTTGAATGGTGTTGCAGTCAGGCATGGGAAACATTTCCAAATAAATTTGCTAGCAATATTGAATGATTTTAAACTAAAATAATATTTTATAAATTGTTTCTCCTACAACCTCAATTCTTTAACAAGATCTTTTAAAGTTTAAAAAAAAAAACAATCTTGATTTACGATTTTCTAATCCACATTAGTACATTTATTATGTAGAATATTAAATATAAAATTAAAATAAACACCAACAGTTGTATAAAGCACAAATAACACATTGAACCAATACTGTAAATACTTTAAATACATAATATAATTTAAAAATAAATTCAACATATTGTATCACTTCAATATCAAATTAGTAACATACCTAATATTATAGTTTTAGTTAGTTAAAATTTTCAAATAAATTAGAAATTTAGTTTTAAATTTTGTTGCTGGAAGACTTCATGTGTCAATTCAACAAGATTTTCTCATTTATTATAATTACTTTTTTTATACTTTCCTAATTAGTTAGCAATTTCATACAAATATTTTAAACATACTTTTATAAATCAGGATTGCAAAGATATATTGCCTAAAAGAATGTATAAATATAAAAACATTAGTTCAAATAAATTTCTAATAAACAGGTAACTAGATTCAAAATTCCAAATTTATCACTTACAATGCTCAAGAGGTAAGTAAGTATAGTTTAATAATTTGTTTTTTTTGTCTAGAAGTAACATATTCCAAAGGTATTAAAATATTAATAATATGATAATAAATTTGTTTAAAATATTTAAATTTGTGTATTATTTATCTGGAGAGTAATAGCATTTATAAATAATGTAGTACCCAATAAATAATTACATTTTAAAGCTACTAATTGTCAGAAATAAAAGTATTAATTTATAAGTGAGGGATTTATATAAAATGATAATTCACCAAGTTACCTATACTATTATTATAAAGAGGTAAAGTTTGTGAGTTTGTGAGGTTGTAGGGGGTAATCTCTGGACCTACTGAACCGATTTTGAAAATTCTTTTACCAATAGAAAGCTACATTATTTGTGAGTGTAATAGACTATATATTAACCTGAAAAATAAAAATACTTTTTCATGGCAGTTATATACAGTAAGTAAAACCGCAGAACAAAAACATTTCTTACGAATGTTGTCTTAATGACGAGAGATACATGAGTTCTAGAGAAAAGTTGTAGTTTGATAATGCCTACAAAAAAGTCAGCGACAGCATATATAAAACTTTTATATTTAAATCACAATAAGTAGTTTTTTATACTAAAAAAATAATTTTAATTATTATCACATGTTTATTGGTCATATTAAAATTCTTGAAATTATGAATTCTTATGAAAATAAGTTAACTTATCGTCTCAAGTGTTTAAAACAAGACATTTCCCTTTTGCTGCATATAATTTGGACAAATGGTTAAAGAGATAATACAACATAAGTATGGAACCACTGGTATGTCGTAATCTATTGAGTGATAATTCTATTAGATAGTTTTATAACACGTCAATCTAATTAAATATATATATATATATATATATATACATGAGCAACACCAAATAATTTTCCTTATAATATAATAAATACAATTTTTTTGTTGATTTGTGTTACACCGGTAACAGGAGTGAATAACAAATACTGTGACCAGAGAATTGTATATATAAGATGAGATTTTTATTAATTCAAGGGTTGCCACAGAAAAGAAAACTATTAAAATTATTATTATTACTATTATTTACAGTATTCAAATTTCACAATGGAACACATTTAGCCTGCCGAGGGTGGACTTATAATTTTAACACTGTCAAAACCAAAAATGAATATGGGTAAAATAATAATAACACAAATTAGCACAGGCGCGGGACCCCTAGTAATTAACAAATTACCAAACAATAAAATTATCACTATTTGAATACAAATGAAAGTTTTTAGATTCTAAGTGAAGTGAGAAATGTGTTGGTTTTACAATTTTTTTTTTTCATTATCTGCTAACATCATTTCTACTGGAAATCTTGCTTCGATTTTCAAATGCAGTAACTTTCCTGAAAATAAATTTTATCTGGGTGGTACTCTATTGAGATCATTTTTTTTTAATTTTCCAAATAGTTTTCATAATGGTTGAGAAAATTTATAATATTTTTAATTTTGTTTTTGTGATTCAGTAAAAAATATTCATAGAAAGGGACTTCAAATTCGGATAGACTACTTAAATTTGCCTTTTTTAAACGTGGTAAAATTTTCAAAACATTTGAGCCATTTTTTTAAATATTTACTGACATTTTAATTTTGTGTTTTTTTTTTACGGAATTTTTATTCAATAAGTACTTTGTGGATTTAATTATTAGAGACCAAACAAAAATGAAATGTTTGATAATTTAATAAAAGGTTTATTATAAATTATAAGTCGTACTTAGTGGTAAAAAATAAAAAAATTAAGTGTAATGTAGAATTTTTATTTATAGGAATTTTAATATCAAATTGTAAATATTAAGGCCTATCAAAACATATATAACCTAACACCGCTCAGGGTTTTTTTGTTAGGAATCATGAATTGTTACATACAATTATACATTAAACTCTCCTCTATATGCTACCTTCCCAACGTCTCACTTACAACAGTAACCCATCCATCGTGCAAAATATGTTTGTCCTTTTTTTTATATGTATTTCCAACAATGGAATTTTAATTACAAATTGAGGAGAAAACTTTAATTTTAATTTTAGAACTGTTACTTTTTATACTTTCTTAATTGTCTCGTAGATCTATATTTTTTACCTTAAATTTCAAATTTTAACAATAAAATTCAAAATTTGACTTTATTTTGAAATATGATCAAGTTCACTTTTTATTTTTTTTTTTAAATAATTAAATTCAAAATTTAAAAAAAATTGTTTTTCATATTAAAGGTAATAAGTTTAAAGTATTGTCGAGACTGGACTATAAAAATTCAACGGTCAAAATAAATTTTTATTACAAGTATACATGTTATCATTATGAATTATAATTTTAAATTATTTATACAATATTTCATTTTAGTATTTTTTTTCAATAAATACTAAAGTAAACTCTTTGTTCATTAAAAATTGAATTATTTATTCAAGTAGAACAGGTTTTATTGAATACATTTCAGTCGAAATATAAAAGTTCTTAGAATTAAAAATTAAATTAAATATCTAAATAATAACAATAACAAAAGTTGCTCTCAAATCATCTAAGTTATAAGACATTGTAAATCAAATCTTATGATTAAAATTGACTGATAGGAATAAATTGTTAAAAATAATAATTAATATTCAAGTCTGTTTAAATTGGTCACTTGCAATTTGCATGGTAAAAATCTTACTTACCGGAAATGTTTTGTGCAAATATTAATTATAAATTAAAGAATGAATCTAATCAGTACCAAAATATTTTTGGCCAAAGTGATTGGGTGCGATGTGATATAGTTCTGACGTTAATATAGTCATCTAAGTATAAAACATAATTCAGTAAGTACTAATAATATAAGAATAATTATAATAGTTGTATATAAGAGTTTAAACAAACCAATGGGAATGCTGTGGTAATTGTTTGAGCAGCAATTGGTGTAGTGAATAAATTTGATAGAATAATATTTTCCTCTGACACTCGATGTTCCTTTAAAACATTCACTGCTTTGATTACAGTATTCCCTGTACCTAAAAAACAAAACAAAATTAAGTTAATGCTTCTGTAATTTAATTATTTAAACATAATATAACTCACTCATTATTGGATACATCAATAGAACTTTTCTATCTGCTATATCATGAGGAAATTTTGCATACACCACACGGGCTTCATGAGTATCTGAATCAGATTCTACCAATATTTTACCAATACGAATTGACCGACAACAATCTCGTAGACCCTAAACACAATAGTATAAAATAATAAAATATTGATAACATCAATAATGTAAATAGGTAGGTAGTGTTGAAAATTATATACATATAAAACACTTACTTGTTCCATAGCCTCACCGCTGCGTACAATACTAACACCGCAGTTACCTCTTTGGTATTTGGTACCTTTATAATAGTTACCAGTGGGTGTCATCACCATACAACTATCGAATGGCAATTGGTTCAGGCTCTCTTCAATGACTAGCCGAATCAAACGGTCAGCATAAAATTTGAAATCCGCTCGACTTGTATTTCTGGAAACCGTAAGTACAAAGACTTCCATAAATGCCTTTGTAATGGCTATACAACTCACTTGTCTCTAAGAATGGTCTGTAATTCCCGGACCTGGTCGTTTGATCGCAATAGCTTCAATTTAGGTCCAAATTCGAATACTGGACTGGTGGAGTTTATTTTTTCGCATTGAGCCGACATGGTTAATCAAAATCTTCACTGATCACAAAGTGAAACGAGATCGAGGAATTTCAATATAGTTAAGTTTTGTAAAATAATGAGCCAAATAAATAAAAATTCAACTTAATACAATAGATAATTTTTATTAGTAATTAGTATTTAAAATTTAAAATAAAATACTAGAAACACCTACATATTTTATACAAATGTTATACCCATTAATTTTTAAATTGATTGCCATGTCTCCAAAACATAACCTATAAATTCAAAGGTTTAGTATATCTGGTAACTGTGCTGGTAAGTTAGATAAAACGCGCCAATTTTTAAAATAAAATATTATCAATGTTATGTAGGTACTTATACTTATACTTATACTAATACTTATACTTCAATTTTCAATTCATTAAACGGTTTCCGGACATAGTTTGCGGGTTTGTACAATTTGTTTTGGTTGAGTTTATGAGATTTATTTTATGAAATTCCGAAGATTTATTATTGCCATCATAGTTTCATATCGTAGTCCCCATGAGGATCAACTGCAATTATTTCTGTTGTGCGATTATTAGCTGAATCGGTCTGGCGTAATCAATGAAAAACCCAAAGACTTTCCATGGTGGTCGTTAAAACACCGTACAAACCGTGGTGCATTTTAATAGTTTGAAATCCGATAGTTGCTCTGAAGTTAAAGGTGCACAGTACCATGACATTGCGATTCCAGCATGTGTTCCAACTAGCGACCACATCACGCAGATCACAAGCCGATAACCTCTCAATCTATACGGAAACGAATAATTTAAAAACAAATCAACAATTGAATAAAATACTTATACTAATAATTTATAAGTAATTCCCCAAACAAATCTAATCGTGAAAAATAGGGCAAATTCCAAACCTCTTTCCAAATAAATCAAATTATCATAAAGTAGTAATCATCTTAATATCGTGGCTAAATTTGCTTTTCTTTAGTCCATAATTTCACTTCTCAGAAAATGGAAAATTAAGTTTTATTTACAATAGTGAGTGATATTATAGTAAAAAGTGAGCTTTTTTTGAAATTTAAGTGAGTTATTAAAATCAAAATTATAAATAAATACAACAATTAATATTTTTCATACAATATTCATACAAACCAGAGTTCAAATCATGAACTAATACAAAGACTGAGTAAAACTTGGACGGTGATTGCTTCACCGTCAATTTTTTTTTTTTTTTTTACCACAAAGGAAGACTTAATAAATCTCCTGTTAAATTTCCAAGCATTTTTGTTAAATCTAACAATTTTACCACAGAATACCTATCGAATAAATATGACGTACAAAACTAGCAAAATTAAAATGCCTATAAATAGCTCAAAAATGACTTGAATTTTTAAAGTTTTATCATGTCTAGAAAAGGCGAATATAAGATTTCTATCTAAACTTTAATTCCATAGAATAGATACGGATATACTCAACTAAATTTTAATAAAAATTAAAAAATTGTGTAAAATGCTTCAAAATGGCCCAAAGGTTTTGAAAATTTGATCATGTTTAGAAAAAGCAAATATAGGTTTTCTGTCCAAGTTTCAAGTCTCTACGAATATTTTGAACTAAATTACAACAAATAAGAAAATTTAAAAAAATAAAACATTATTTTTGTAAATATTTTGTTTTTTCTCACTTTTCTCCTTTTATTGGGAAAACTTCTCGGGAAATCGAAAAATGACCTCCCTAAAGTATTACCCCAAAAAAATTTCTTTTCATAAAAAGGTATACATCGTATACATCGAAGCGAGATTTCTACAAAAATAGCTGGACCCATCTCCATTAACCTAAGACAACTTTTTAACACTATAATTATTATTATTATTATTATTATCATCAAACAGATCTATACAATTTGACTATTATTTTTAATGAAATCATGTTATATTTTGAATTCTTATAATTATTTAAACAAATATTTTTTGTAAATATAGTTCAAAACTGAGAATTGCAATATTGCAAAGTTTTTAATGCTCAATCGTGTAGGTTTTCTTTTGTATTTATATAGACTTTGATACGCTGACAAATCAATCGTGTCGTAAGAATAGGTGTTTTATTCTCAACTGTGTTGTAGCTCTGGCTACTTAGTATCGAACTTCATATTTCTATACTTATACAGAAAGTGCCTTATAATTTTAATGAATCAGTCAGTCAATAATATAAAAATTCAAACTTTAAAATTGTCCACTTTTCCTTAATATGAATGGCTCAATTTTGTAAAATTTTTGTACTTTTTATTTTTGTACTCAAATAATGACCTATTATAATTTTAGGTCTATGAATATGATGAACTGACTCCCGTTTTATTAGTGGTGGTTATTTGGGGATTGTTTCATTTAGGCCATCCTGACTTTTTTACAATTCAATGTGTACACAAGCATAAAATATTATATCATTTAAATAATAAAATAATGAATGCAATTTATTAACTTATAAATGTAAATATGTTACATTAAAAAAAAATTTTTTAATTTGTACATTATTCTATTAAGGAAAGAGGGCATTTGTCACCCTTGGATTTTAGGGAATAAATTCACTACATAAAAATTGAAAGTGATTGTACGAAAAATGGTCATTATAATTATCATTATAAAATCGCTTTTCCTCAAAAAAAATTTTGCGGTGTTTAGGGAGAAAATATTTTTAAAATACCTACTCAAAATTAAGGAGTAAAACGCGTTGGAAAATATTGTTTTGCGTTATCAATGTTTTTCGTGTAACATATTTTTAAAACTTTATCGAAAAGTTTTTACTCCTTGCTCTAAATAAAAGTAATACACTAATGACTAATGCTATTGATTTTATAAACTATTTTAAATCTATTATAAATAAGATAGAAATATTTAAGGCGTCTGACTAATTAATCTGTATAGTTACAACCCTACATTTTAAGTTTATACTTACGGCGGATAGACGTGTAGAGAAATCAGTGGCGACGAATCTTGTCGAGACGATCCATCGTCTAGGCGTGTATCGTATTCGTCCAGCCAAATACGCGTCGCTGGTCTAAAAACACCCAGTAAAAGTGAACATTTATCAACTGAAAAATATTCATATTCATTTTCAAATAAATTAATAAGAGTATAATATGACATATATATTATTTACAAAGCAACACAATAAACTGAATTCCGCTTATAATCGTTTTTTCGTTAGCAATGGTTAATCGTTGCTTACATATATACATTAAATTCCCGTCTGTATAACTGCATCCTACCTTCCCGACTTCCCACAATCCCACCTACAACAGTGCTTGTACGGCTAAATCCACGTGCGAAGTATGTCCGTTTTTTTCTATCTTAACGTCTACCTAATTTATAAAGAGTAATTGATTATGCTCACCTCACTTAGATTCTGAGTGGCGCAAAGAAGCATAAGCGCTTTTACAAAAAAATGTATTTTATTATTATTATTTTTTTTTTTTTGGACAACTTTTCTACCAGAATACTTGCTCCAATTTTTACTAAAATTCGAAAAATAACTTTTTGAAAGTACTTCCTCAGTGAAATTTCCTTTTAGGAAAATTGCTATCGTTAAAAGCTGGAGAAAAATTGCTGGTAGAAAAGTTGTCCACTGGAAAAAAAATGGCCGTAATATTTTTAACTAATACTTACATTTCCCCGTTTTTGGTTTTACGCATTTAATAAGAAAACTCCTGAGAAAATCAAAAAATGACTTCTTTAAGGTACTTCCCCACACCGATTTCCTTTCAGAAAATATTCTACACGTAAAAGTCGGAGCAACTCCCTCTGATAGAAAAGTTGCCAACAGAAGAAAAAAACAATGTAAAACCATAAGCTTCTTCGTTCCATTCAGAATCTAAAAATGTTAATTAATTTTAACAATAATAACATAATTTTGAATTAAAACTATTGGCACAAAACCGATATTATAGACAATTAAAAACTATTATAAATTAATAAACAAATAAATTTTAATCTAAAACCTTGATATTGATAACCGGTCCCTGTAGATAAAAAATTGAATACATTACTTATCTATTTTTAATTGAATGTACAGTTATATTACATAAGGTTATTTTTTTGGATAACTTTAGAGTTGGAATAATGATCGTGGAAATAATAGTCACAATTACGTTTATCATACTAAGTACCTTAAAGGTTAGTCAATCAAAGGTTTTTCCTAAAATAATTTATTTTACAAATTATTGACAAATTCCACACTTGTGAACATAAAATGGCAACGTTGCACTAAATTTGGTAGGTAGAACGTACGCAATCATAACGCACCCCAATCAATCACCTAATCATCTGGCCGACTAAGGACTTTAGCGAACGCCGTTCAAAAATATAGGTACCTACCTGGAAATCTAATCCCACCAAGAAGATCCTAGCGGAACCGTCATCTATACTGCCACTGACGGATAACAGGTGAATTCGGTAAGTCACGTTTATACACCTTTCGATGTACGCGATTGACCATAGCGGTGTTTGTGTAGAGGAGTCCGTTATTGTTTTTTTAATACAAACTGTTGGTCGAGCTTCGAATTCCCAATTACAAATCAGCACATTATTCTTGGTCAGGCAACGCCGATGGCCGTAGATCTTACACCCTATATATATTATGAATTGTATATTCATTTCGGTTGTAGATTATATTTACAACCATGATATTCACTGTGCATTTATGTTACATATGAATGTGTAATACACCTACATATATTGTATTATATAATTACATATAATGGGCTACAGAGAGAAACGATCATAATCAATATTCCCAAAATATCCACACTGATCACTTTCCCTCGTTCCACATAAGCACTTCATGAGCTCTAGATTAAAAATCTAAATGGAGTTTTTAAATATTGAGAGTTAAAGTAAAAAATTGTTATTATATTTCTAAAAGATATTTCCACATATTCATATTCAAATAAGTTTCTTTTGTTTTATTTGAAAAAAAAAATTATGTTGCTTATAGTACAACGCTTTACATACACAGATTATGTATCGCTGTACCTTATATATGTTGGATTATCTGTGATTAATTCAGTTTGTATCATTTTTGGCTGAAATATTATTGTCAGCTTTTTTTTAAAAATTCTCTCTCAAGATGTGTCGTTCAATTTTCTGCTGATTGTTAAGTGAATGGTAAAAATGAAAGTTGTTGCAATACTTGCAAGTTGAAACATAATTTTTGTCTGTACAGACCCATTTGATTTGCACATCTTTACATTTTCTAACAAAACAATAT